TCTATCTTAAAGAACACCATAGTTTGGTTTATAAATAACAAATTCTTTTTAGAGTTGAAGAATTGAGGTAAATGAGGTTCAATGACTTCATAAAAATCACACAGCAAGTTAATAGAAGAATCGCAGTCTCCTCACTCCTAATAATGGCTTTCTACAAAGTCAGGCTTCTGACTTTAATGTTTTTAATTTTTAGTTGAGATAGAGTCTCATTCTGTCACCCACGCTGGAGTGCAGTGGTACAATCATAGCTCACTGCTATGCCTGTGCTAAGTGCAGTGGTAATTTCTATCCCTACAAGTAAGGGGACCAATGAAATGACCCTCTTGTGTCATGTCAGGGCCACAAGAGGAACAGGGAGGCGTGTGTCTGTGTTGGCAAACTGAATTTTGGGAGTAAGCAAACTAAGCTACAAGTGCCTGTCCAGTTGGTAGGAAGGCAGATGTAAGAAAAACCACAGAGGAAAAACAGTCCTTGGCTTAGACAGAGCTGGAAGTGTAAACTGAAAAGATGGGAAAGTGTTCTGAGGGGGCTGGGGCTTTGGACCCGAATGCCAAGGGAACCAGCAAAGGCTGCGGCTGTTAATGTTGTAGCGGGGTTTGGTAGGGTAACTGTGTGGAGGGAGAGCTCTGGTTTTCATGGTGTTTGAGGAAGTGGGTGGTATCTATAAATATCCACTCACTTTCATTTACAAGATTTGGTATGAGCAGACAGGCCGAGGGGTCTGGAGGAGAGTCTGAGGAGCAAGGTGCGGGGGTGGCCAAGGGTAAATTGAGAGACAGAGTAAATGCCTATCTAGGCAAAATCTGCTGTTGACATTTTTTAAGGCTGCTCGTAATAAGGGAGGGCTTTAGGAAAAAGCATTTTTGAGGTCAAGAACAGAATAGTGAGTTGTGGAAGGGAGTATGGAAGATAGAAGGGTATAGGGGTTTGGTACAACCAGCTGGCTGGGAAGTACTATCTGACTGATGAGGCAGAGGTCTTTGGACTAGTCTGTAGAATTTGTCTCGTTTTTTGGACAGGTAAGATAGGGGAATTGTAAGGAGAGCTTGTAGGAATTAAAAGGCCATGTTGCAATAGATGAGTGATGACAGGCTTTAGGCCTTTTAAAGCCTGTTGTGGGATGGGGTACTGGTGCCGGGTGAGCTAAGGGTGGTCAGGTTTTAAGGGGATGATGAGGGGTCAGTGACTTGTAACAACGGATGGTGAGGTGGTGTCCTACACCCTAGGGTTAAGATGGGGGGCGCGTAAGGGGAGCTACTGAGGGAGGTACGGGTTTGGGGAGGAGGAGCAGACAGTTTCACCAGGATATCTTGGCCTAACAGAGGAACTGACCAGGTGCGGATGATTGGGAAGGCATGTGGAAAGGAGTGCTGGCCTAATTGACACCAGACTTGGGGACTTCGGAGAGGCCTGGAGGCCTTGCCATCAATTCCCACAACAGTTATGGAGGCCAAGGAGACAGGTCATTGAAAAGAAGGCAGCGTGGGGTGGGTGGCCCCCGTGTTGATTAAGAAGGAGATTACTTACCCTCCACTGTAAGAGTTACCCAAAGCTCGGCATCCGTGACGGTCCAGGGGGCCTCCGAGATGTTCGGGCAGCGTCAGTCTTCGACCACCAAGCTGGGGAGCCGCAACGTGAGTCAGACAGGCCAACTTTCCGTGGGGGCCCGTACAGATGGATCAGGGCTTAGGAGGAATCCGGGCTGCGGGCATTCCTTGGCCGAGAAGCCAGGCTTTCAGCATCTGAAGCAAGGCTTTCGGGGAGGAGGTCCTGAAAAGAGGGCTGGAGGCTGCAGGTTTGGAGGTCTGAAACTTCTGTGAGCTGAAGAAGAGGCTGGGCCCTGTCTTACAGCTCCAGGCAGGCATTTGTAATTCTGAAATTTGTTAACAGCTTGGCAGCTTCTTCTTGGTTATTAAATATCTTAAAGTTGAGGTTGATTAGTTCCTGTTGTGGGGTTTGAGGGCCAGATTCTAGTTTTTGAAGTTTTTTTCCTAATATAGGGGGCAGATGGGGTAATGAAGTGCATATTAAGTGTTCTCAGGGGTAAGAGTAGAAGTAAAGATGACATTTAAGTAAATCACTCCAGGCGAGACTATAGGACTGGGCTAAGTGTTGGAGGATCTGATAAAAAGGAGCCTAACCATGGGCCGATTGGGAAAGGTTGGATAAAGAGAAAGCAAAGTGTACCCTAACTGTGCCTTCGGCTCCAGCCACCTCTCGAAGGGGGATTGTTGGGCAGGGACAGACAGGTAGTCACAGGACTAAACTGTAAGCCTGATCGCCTTTGAGGTGGAGAGGTGACAGGAGGGGCATAAGGAGGTGAGTTGTGGGCAGAGGAAGAGGAGGAAGGCTGAGGGGATGGGTTAGATCCTGGATTAGGGCCTGGTTTGGACAGGCGGGGAGGAGAAAGGTTGGAAGGGTCGATGGACAAGGAGGATTCTGTGTCACCAGCAGAGGCAGGAGGGGCAGACAAAAGGGAGAGAAGGAGCAGAGATTAGGGAGGGATTGGAGTGTAAAAAAAATGCCTGGACTAGGGAATTTGAGACCATTTGCCCATTTTACCACATAAGTTGTCTAGATCCTGCAGGACAGAAAAATAGAAGGTTCTGTTTTCTGGCCATTTAGAGCCATTGTCCAATTTATATTGTGGCCAACCAGTATTGCAAAAGAAAATAAGATGCTTATGTTTTAGTTCAGGTAATAGCTGGAGAGGTTTGAGCTTTTTCAGAATGCAGGTTAAGGGAGAGGAGGGAGGAGTGGAGGGCCGGAGATTGCCCATAGTTTAAGAAGAGTGGAGGAGACAAAGAAAGTGACTGCATTACTAAGCAGCTTAGCAGGCATCCCAGACTAAACTTTGGTCTGAACCTGGGGTGAATCAGTCAAAGGGGGTATCCCCCTTTGACTGATTCATCGCCTATGAGTGCCAGTGACCAGAGTAGATGTCTCCACAATGATGAGTCTGTCCTCCCAGTTCTGTGACCCACATAGGATTTTTTCCAATCATGAACCTCATGGAAAGTCCTGTCTTTCTTGTCTCCATTGACAGGAAGAGAAAAATGAAACTGATGGGACAAGGAAGCTGACAGGTAGCGAGAAGGGCTAAAGAGAAGGGTTGGGGCAAACTGCTTACCTGATTTGAGGATGGTGAGTGGGTCTGTGGGCTGGTCTGATGAACCCAGGTCATAGGTAGTTCTCTTCACAGAGGCAGCACAAGGAGAACAGGGCCAGGGAGTTTGGTCCCCCTTAGGAGTTCCCCCATCCTGGGTTTCAGCACCAAATGTTAAAATGTGTGCTGAATGAAGAGACCCCTCCAAACATGCTTCGTGTGAGCAACATGGCTGTTTATTCACCCCGGTGTGGGCAAGCTGAGTCTGAAAAGAGAGTCAGTGGAGGGCAGACGGATAGGTGTTGATTTTATAGGTTTGGGGTAAACAGTGGAAAGTTACAGAAGTAACTTTAGCGTGATGTTTTTGCAAGCTGGGAGAGGGTCATAGGGTGTGGAGTCATGAGGTTGACCATGGTTGGTTATAAAGTCCATTGGCCTTATCAATTGGGGCAGGAATAAGGAACAATAGAGAATATCTTAAAGTTAAGTAGACACAGGGGTTGATCATTTCTTCCTCTTTTCATGGTCTTCCAGTTACTCTAGATTTTCCCAGGAACTCACCTGGAGTGTCCATGCAGGTTACAAAGGTTAACATGGTGTCCATGGGGCCATCAGTTGGTCTAAAAGACCTTACAGCGGAGCCAGCTTGTCCAGGAATTGTACTTCAAGAACCAGTGATCTTGAATTTTAGTATGGATCTCAAAGAGGTGGGAAATATCTTGGGTATAGGACAGTAGCACATCCCTTTTGCAGGATAGCTACTGTGGATGGAAGATCTTTAGAAATTTGGATTTTAAGAGAGATTTTGAACTATGCAAATATCATTAACCACTCAGTGCCAAATATTCTATATCTTTTAAGGGAGGCAAAGCCAAGTAAGGAAATCCTTTCATTTCCACTTTTGATTAGAGGGCTTCTTTTAGTTTTTCTTAAACGTTACCTGGTAGAAAATAACATTAATTTTAGGTAAATTAAAACTTCACTTATCTCAAATGAGGCCTTGAGATTATTTTTTTAGTATTAATAATTCCACGGTTTGTCATTTAAAAGTCTCTAGACATAGACAAATAGAATTCCACAGTTACGGGCATCAGCTTGTTGCACACTGACAATCAAATTTTTAAAATTTTGAAATCCTATGTATTCTCAGGCAAATGCAGACCACAGGAAAACCACACTTGTCTTTCATTGTTTTTTCCTCTGAAGTTAGGGAATAAACAACTGCTAACTCTGTGGATTGATTTGTTAAAGGATATTTTATTTCCATCCATCAAAAAATTTACTTTAAGGAATGAATATCTTAAAATAATAAAAGACTTAGCTTCATAAAATATATATTATGAAGGTACTTCACACATTTGTTTTAATAATGCTTCAAATACACTTAAATTTGTCTATTTAAAAGTAGTAATTTTGGCTTTGGTAGTAAGGATTTGAGGTAATATATATGTGATTTTTATTTTTTATGTAAACATTATTCTTTCGAAAAGTTTTGAAAAAGTATGCTAACTTAATTTTATTGGACCCTGTAAAATATGCAAGAATCTATCCATTCTTAGTAATGTTTTCTCCTACTAGACTTCTTTATTTTCTTTTTTCCTACAAACATAGAAAGACAAATGCAGTGTCTAGTCAAATGCAGCACTCCTTTGGATTTATTAGAAAAGCAAATAAAAGAGAGTAGAAAAATGCATCAGTATACATTGTTTGTTTCATTACTCTAATTTCATTTAGGTTTTTCAACTTGTACAGAACTTTCATAACTAGCATACAATAAAAAGGGAGTTAGCTTTTTTGCAATAATAAAAATATTTGGCTCTAAAACATCTATTTGGAGCATTTTCTCAATAACAGAGCATGTGACATTTTCTGACAGTAAACGTATGCATAGATGTCAAGTTTTATGAAATACTTTTAATAAATGCAGGAGGAAGCAGAAGTTCAGTAAGATTAGGAAATGCCTAATGAAGCTCACTTATAAAATTACATTGATTTTCACCTATCTTGGGTGTTCTCATGAGACTTTTTCACATGAAATATTTGAGATCTGAAACAAGATAAGAAAAATTTAACTCTATATCTTCCTCAATACCAATTTAATTCTAGAAAAAACATTCATAACTATTAACTTATTGACAATTAACTGACAATTAAGTTATATAAAATAAATCCATGAAATAAATCTTTTATTAACAAATGAAATTTGTAAGCAGTCTGATAGGGTTTCACAGATTTTATCAATCATACAATTAACATTTAATTTGGGGAGTAAACAGAGAATGAATCGAATTGCCTAAGTAAACCAAAAGACAGTCAAAGTTTCTCTGAGATAAACTTCAACGATATTCTGAAAATATTTTACATAACCAAAACTGTTTAATACATATTTATTTCGCATATTTTCTAATATTTTTTCTAATGTTTTTAGAATATCTTCTCTTGCTGACTGAGGTATCTACCTCTGGACATTAATTGTTACATTTTTAAATGTAGATACAAATTGTTCTTGGAGCAATTACAAATCATTAGCTGAAATTTAACTTATATATGTTTGTTTGTCTTCATATTTCTTTTATGCTTGCTTAATTATAGAAAAGAAAATGTATATCTGAACATAAAAGCACAATTAAAGTTAAGGTTTAGTTAATGATTTTTAATTGCTCCAGGAATATTTTGTACCTACATTCAAGAATGTGACTTATTATGATAAATGTCCAAATTTATATTTTAAATTTTTAGAATTTATATTATTATCAGAGCAACCTGTACATCAGAGAACAAAAATTGCATGACCGCAGAAATATTTTATAATGGCTATAAAAATTACATATTTTGGACACCTTATAAAGTAAAATCTGACTTATTAAAATTACTTCTTTCTTCTGATCTCATATTCAATTTCACATCAAGAAGTGCCTTTAATTTGGAACTGAGAATAAGAAGACTAGTCACAACATTTTTTTTTAAGCCACTCATTTTTAAAAATAGTTAACTAGTTAATAGATGTTGTGGTTTTTTTTTTTTTTTTTTTTGGATGAGAAATTTCCATACTCTTATTGTTTATAGATTTATAGAGCTTGCCACAAATAACTACGAAAATACTATATAAATATAAAGTTTCTTTTTAGATTAATAAAATATGCTATCCTATTAAAATGTTATACCTTCAAAATGATTTATGAATGTGTGTATTCATTTATTCAGCATTCCACAAATCTTTGGTAAGTGTTGCTGTAATAGATTTCAATTTTGTAACATATACATTCTAGTCCCTATTTCTGACTATTTTCTTAAAGTATCTATAAATTTAGACTGAGTCTTAAGTTTTAATACAGATGGTAATTCAACTTTGTGCATATTCAAGGTGTTACTCTCAGTATATCCGAGTTGCAGCCTAATGCCGTCAGGGCTAGCTTTCCAGATGCTTGGAAATGGCAGGTGACAGCCACAGATATGGCGGGCCTATTTCAAATTCAAGAGTGAATGCTTTTGCCAAGATATTTATATGTTTTAAATGTTACTAGTAAACCATACTGAGCAAACGAAATATATCTGTGAGCCTAACCCATGGACCTCAGGGTTGCAATTCTTTCATGGAAATCTTCTCATGCAATCTTTGTAAAATCTCTGCCCCTCACGTTTGCTGTGAGCTTGTTCTGGTCCTTATCTTTCCAATAATCCTAGAAGTTGGAGGAACCTCATAACGAATCCACATGGGCAGAGGTCCAAGGACTGAGCTCTGAAGGATCCTGAAAGGAAACAATGCTGGGAGCACTGCTCTGAGGAGTACCATAGTGTAAAAGAGAAATGAGCTTATTCACCAAACTGACGACCGCGCTGAAGAATACTTAAAAGCCCTTTTCAAACTACGCAAGTGGAGAGAATGCAGTTATCTGACACCAAAGGAAATATTTTCTAAGAACATAATTCTTCCCAATATTTTGAAGAAAATATTTAATTCATACATCTACAATGCAAATTCATCTTTCACTGGCCTCTGCAGCACCCAGCTCTCCCAAATGCTCTTCCATAGCACAAAAAGTAACATCAGTTTTCAAATACAGGGTGCAAGAAAGTGTACAATACAGTCCTGAAAGGGGCAATATACACATGCATATAAAAGAAAATTAGCAAACACAACCTTGATTTCTAGAGAACATAGACGTTATACCAGACAAGGAGAATTTAGGGAAGTCTCATATTTATAGTACCCTTACCTATACACGATGAAGTTTACCTCCATAAACAAAAACATTAGCAGATGCTGCTATCATTCTGCATGCAATAAACTCCTACTTATTCAGCTGTGGATGTTATGCTACTAAAAGGCACATTTATTTCTTGACACATGTCTTTGCTAATGTCCTAAATTTGGGTTCCAGGTGATCTAGAAACTCCAGTCCCTCTTCTTCCTGACGATCGCTGCAGCAGCCTACTGAGCCGGCCAGAGAACCTTTGCCTTCATAGTTATACGAACGAACGTAGTCTTCACAATGTTTATGCTCCTCGTCTTGTCCACACAAATACACCTTCTGTATCAAAAAAGAGCACATTTTATTATTTTTTTAAAAACACCTAAATATATTAGCAGAAAAATGATGTCTTTGATTTACCTTTTACTGTTTAATTTTTAATCAGAGTGTGTCCTCTAATGGATTCCTATATATAAAAAATGCACAGGATTGGTCTGTATTATATTCACTCTTAAAATATAGCAAATAAATAAATGCTTCTAGTGAGTACATTTATAAAAATTAAGACTACACATATATCACACAACTAATTTATTATTTCCCATTTGAACATAAGACATGTATATTTGAAATTTTACTCTGTAGCTTCTTCACATATTTGAAGAAAACCAATATAGGCTATGATTCTTATGTTTATACACTATTATATAACTGTAATCGTGTAATATATTAAACTGGCTAATATCAAACCTATACTGATTAATTTGAATATAAAACAAAACAAGGAACTAAAACTCAAAAGCTCAACAATGTATCTGGTTGATTTTGATAGCCAGGACTTTATAACCACACAAAGAACTCAAGCACACTGAAAAATGTTTATAATTTATTATCCATTTATTCATCTATAATAAATATTTCATTCCAGGTAGTTTTTCTGTTAATTTTTAGGGAAGAGGCTATCAACCTTTTATCCTTTGTAACACATCTACATATGACACTCCTAAAGTTTTGTGAACTGTATTTTAAAAGGTGAATTTTCAAAGATAATTTTTTTTCTTTGGGTTTAAACCAGACATTCACATCTATGATAATTCAACATTTAAAAGATGTTGAATTTCAGGCATATGAGGAGTAAAACTTTTGGGAAATTCCTATTTATAACTAGCATTTAACTTCCATTTGATATGACCTCGAAGACAGTGGAACTTACTTCACCAAGTCGAGGCTGGGTGAAACTCTGCCAGTCCGTGTACGTGTATCTGCCGGTATCTCCCTGCCCCACTCCCTTGACAGACTCCAAAGTCTGATGTCCACCTCCTTTGTTGGAATCCAAAGTGTAACCTCCTTTGACCATCTCAAAACTTTGCTGTGTTTTGATTCCCTGGCCACCAACAGTACCAACAGACATGCTTGTGTCACAAATGTTGGAGGTCTGCATGGGGAGTCTAATATTTGCTTCCTAAAAGAAAAGGTAAAGTGATAAAGTGAATTTGAAAAATGGAAATTAACAATTCGTTTTTATTTTTTTCCACCATAGGCAAATCACTTGCCTGCTGTGCCTCTCTGTTCCTCATACATAAAATCAGAAGAATAGTATCATAGGTGTGATGGGCTGCATTGAGTCCCCTAAAAATTCATACGTCCTAACCCTCAGTAACTCAGAATGTGAACTTATTTGGAAATAGGGTCATTGTAGATATAATTAGTTCAGATAAGGTTATATGGGATTAGGGTGCGCCCCTAAGCTAATATGACCAACATCCTTATAAAAAGGGGAAATTTGAACACAGACATGCACACAGGGAGAATGCCATGTGAAGATTTGATTTACACTGCCACAAGCCAGGGAATTGCCAGAAGCTAGGAGACAATCCCGGAACAGATCCCTCTGCAGTTCCTTCAGAGGGAGCATGGACCTGCCAACACCTTGATCTCTGATTTCTAGTCTCCAGATTTGTGAAACAATACTTGTCTGTTGTTTAAGTCACTCAGTTTGTTGTGACAGCCCTAGCCCTGTAGAATTGGGAGGTTGCAATGATTTAAAACATTGAGGCCACTTGAAATTCTGCTTAGCTTAGCAAGTGCTCAATAAACATGAGTGATATTATCATTGACATTGTTGTGTTATAATCCATCATTACTGATTCACCATATAATTCAAAGGAATGAAATCTGATTTACCGTTACTTCTTCTCCAGGTCCTTCAGTATTTGATACAATTAAATTTTGCTGGGCTATGTCTTCTGGAAAACATTTCTTGACTGTTTTCTTAGCAGTGACACAGAAACATGTAAACAGAATACCTAAAAAAAAAAAAATCAAAGTAAAACAGACATTAAATCATTTGATTACATGATTTTTTAAAGTTTTCTTGCATATGTTTTAAAAAATTCATTCCATAAATTGAGCTCTTTGGGTCACAAGATTTAAAAACAGAATATTTTAAAATGTATTTATACTACTTGTAGCTTAGAAAGATGAATAATAGCTCTCTTCCCATGTCCAAAATTGACTTGTATGTATCTTTTATTTCCTCAACATTGAAATGGAAACTTTAGCTAACTGAAATTTAAGATAGCATCATTAGTAGGTAAAATCATACAGAACACACTTAGAATAACAAAACAAAGAACGTGAGGCATAAATACAAACAAGAAAGGCAATTACATAAAATTGATGTCCAGTTTTGAAAGTGTGTGCCAACTAATACAGTGATAAGGGGAATATCCAGTTTAATCTGAAACTCAAATCAATGAATTAGGATACAGTAAAGATTATAGATTATTTGTATATGCAAATGGGTTCTTTGGAGTCAGAGAGAGACAGAGAAAGAAAAAGAAATGGAAAGAAAGAGAGAGTGAAAAAGGCAGGCTTAATTAATTGTGGGCAATGTTTCTATTACTTTTGCACCTCCAAATAGCAGTTTGCAGAATGCAAAATCTTAGCATCTTTGCATGTATTACATTTCCTCAGTGCCTCATATGACCATTTTCCACTCATGGAAGTCTTATGATGATGCTAAATCACTTCATTATGGAATAAAAATATCTGAGCAAATTTTGGAATACCTCTGTTTTCACAAATTCTTTTTGTATGTTTGTATTCCCTAAATAAACTTGGCTGGTTAAAAGTCTATATTATTTTGTATGGAGAGAATCTTAATACTTTTATCCAGTCTCTTCATTTTACATACAGAAAAATGAGTTCAAGAAAGAGGAAATAATTTACCCAATGATTCACAGATAATTATTGAAGGACTAAGGCTACCACCTCTGAAACTTACTTTAAATTTAATCTGCTATTACTGATGTGTTTCTTCTATCACTCAGAGCCCCAAGACATAAAATAGATACAATACTTTTAAAAGAACACATTTGCCAAAGGCTATTTATTAATATAAAAAACTGCCATGTTTAAAAAAGTATTAGATAAAATTTAAGCTAACACATTCTAGATAATGATACTTAATATACTTACATAATAACAATACAGAACCCAACACCATAGCAAGAATAGCCCATCTTCCAAGTATTACATTTGGTCTAACGTCTCTTAGATTTTTAGCAGGCAGGTTACACTCAGATGAAACTGAACAGTCACATACTCTCACTGATAACTCATGTGTTGCAACTAAACCATGTCTGTCTTTTATCTTGATAGGCACAAAATAATTGTTATAAGCTAGATTTTGTCGTTGACGAAGAATGGCAGTTTTACCTAGGGGAAAAAAAACAGAGAAAATATATACAGACAGGATGTTTAGTTAGCAATGTTATTCTACTTGATATTCTCAGTGGGCAGGAATCAATTTAGAATAATAACTCTAATTTTTTATTTTTTTTTTAATTTTTATTTCCCAGAAGAGCCAGAAAAATAATTGATGTAGCTTTATGTTGATATTAGACTAATCTACACTTACCATATTACTCAAATGTTAATTTAAATGGGACTTATATGTTTTCTTAAAAGATTTTCAGAACAAGAGTCTAAGCTTATCATAACGACATTAATTTGTTTTTTTTAAAAAAACAAACAAGGTGGTGTTGTTTTTAGGATCAATAAAATAATTTCTTAAAATTAATATGTATTTATTATGATAAACTAAGGTGAAAGGACCATTACCTGTCTGAAGTCCCTATTGATTATAAAATTTAGCATAATTACATACCATCCTTTTCTTCTATAACCCAGTTTTTGCTGGCAGAATCATCCAGAAGGAATTGAAAAGGTGGTCCATTTTCAGGCCCATCTGGATCTACAGGTTCCAGAACAGCAAAATCCTTATTATTCTGACAAATGGTCACGTCTTTATTAATTTGTGGTGGATGATCATTTTTATCAGTCAAAGAAACTACTAATGTTCCAGTGCAAGATCGGCCAACTAAGACAAATTAAAAATAGGTTATTTCTTCACATGAAAATGCATTTCTATTAAACAATTTATAAAATACACAGTTGACATCTGCTTTCTACTAGCTGTCTGAGCTTGAGTTTGCACACATGCTTCCTGGATAACAGACACCAAGACTACAAAATAGGGACATGTCACTGTTCCTTGAAGTCTGGGGCTGGATCAGATAATTTCTTCAGGTGCTTTTCAAAACTAAATGGTATGGGATTATGAGGAAGGTCACCAAAAAATAACCTGTTGAAATAAAATTGATGTCTTACATCCTTCTTTGTGAGGAGCATCTATTCATCCTTAGAATACAAACACTTTACATTTGGTTATCAATCACTTTCTCAGCTTCTCCGTCACATCATATACTTTTTGCCCAAACCTTGAAAACTTCTCTAGAAATGCACTAGGTGTTCTCCTTCCTGTCTGCTTTGTAGCTTTTGGTTGCCACTCCTAGGAATACTTTTCTCCTCTTCTTTGCCAGGTAAAATACTATTATCTTCAAGAATCTACTCAAATGTCACCTCCTCATGAAATCTATGACTTGCACAGACAATGGTAGTCATATTCCAGTATTTTCTCAGAACTCTTTGCTAATACCTTGGCTCACACACTAAACTGCAAACATGTTAATAACACAGTAAGTTGTATTCACCTTGAGAGCCTGGGGATTTGCCCAGTATTTCCCAGCTCACTATAACTTTATCCTAACACACTGAACATAATGCAGTTCCTAGTTTTATACTTGAAAACATTTAATTGAATACGCACGAAAAGTAAGTTTTCATCTCTGCCCTAATGCAAATCATATGTTCTTGACAATAGGAACTGTCTTGTACTCATCTGTTGATTGCCACTAAGACTTCACACACAGTATTTTTAGTGAAAATAGTGCCCATTATTTGTGCTTAAGAGATAATGAAGTTCAGAAACATGTCAAATTCCACCATTTGCAAAAGAATAATAAACTACAATAAATGATAAGATATCCTAATTGAAATAAACAGAAAGATAATTGATGCAGTTTTTCATGTTTTTGTTTTAAATACTGATCCACACTTTGAAACATGTATGTTGAATTTCTCATGAAGACTACTATAATTCCTATGCAAATATAATTCATTTTGTTTTTTAGTTTTAAATAACCCTAAGTCATATCATGCAGTGTATTTCAGGAAAATTGTTTTCTGTTGAATAACTACATAATTAATTTATTCAGTGACTTTTAAACTAAAGTAATCACTATTTATGCCTATTTTAAAACTATCTGAACATGTTTAAAATATTCAGAAATAAAAAGGAGATGTAGCTATTAGAAGAATAAATGTGCAATAGCATATAAATACTTTAAGACTGCCAGAAAATAGCAAATAAAGTTGAATATAAGTAACAACTTTAAAATCAGCAAACTAGCAAAGAAATGAATAAGGTGGAAAAGAGGTCTTTATAAAATAAAAAATTTAGTTACATACACTACACATGAGTTGACATATGTGCTATAATTTCACCTCTTAAAATTTAAGCAGAAAACCTTTCTCTTTATGGAAAAATTGTGAGAAACCACACTTTAAAAATCCAATAAAAATGTGGTAATTATAGGAAGGAAAATTAAGCATCATTTAATCACATATTCAACCAAAATTTATCCCATAACTTATTATTTTCTATTCCAGTCTCTGTTTTAAGCATGTTGATAAAAACAGAATGAAAGATGCCTGAAACTATTTACATGGAAGGCAATCAAAGCCAAAGCTGAGAGGGTCTTAGAACAGGGGTGTCCAATCTTTTGGCTTCCCTGGGCCACACTGAAAAAAAAAGAATTGTCTTGGGCCACATATAAAATACACAACCACCAATGATAACTGATAAGCTAAAAAATATATATATTGAAAGCAAATCTCATAATGTTTTAAGAATGTTTATGAATTTTTGTTGGGCCTCATTCAAAGCCCTGCTGTGCTGCATGCTGCCTGCAGGCCACAGGTTGGACAAACTTGTCTTAGAAGATATCAAAAATTATAAGAGGTTGATGGTAAGCTTTTATTTTACCCCTGGGAAGAGGTAAACAGCCAAAAATAAGCAAATACTGATAATAGCTGAGCATGGTGAAAGATCATTGGGTATGCTTATCTACTTCTAAACCTTACTTTAAATTAAGCATATAAGCAAATGTCGAGTGTAAATGAGTAAGAAACATTGCAATCACAGAGCTAGAAAGTACATGACATGTTGGATTAACTAAAAATCTTCATAACACGTCAACAGCAATGCTGAAAAGCAGTAGTTTTTTACTGCTACTCAAATGTTTTAATCACTAGAATCGCTGCATTATAAATCAGCCTACTCCATAAAATTTAAAATTAATGGTTAAAATATTTAAATTTTTTCTTATTAAGCTATAGTATGCCTCCTAATAATCTCCTACAATTTGTTCATGTTCTTTTGGGACAATTTGTTCGTGTTCTTACATGCAAAATGTTTACCACTTCTACATGACAACTTAATATATTTGTTCTCTTAAGAAAATCCTTTTTACAGAAGCAAAAAATAAAGGAGCATTTAGTAAATGTTTGATCTCAATTTTCTACATTAAAACCAGTTTTTCCAAGTGCTAACTATGCCCCTAGAATTGCAAAGCTCTTCGTAGTGAAATTTATAACCTGGAAATTCATAGAACTCTCAAACAACAAAGGAATGACAAATATCAGCACCTGCGTTTGCATATGTGTACCAAATTTTCTGCCAGACACTTCAAAACAGATGGTTTACCAAAGAAAAAGGGTCCTTATAGAAAATTGAACTCATAATTAATCTAGTTAGGGAAACAGAATATACATGAGAAACAATGAAAGCAAACTTTTCTACAGAAGTCACACCATATATGATAATTGTTATTCCCAGTTCAAAAGGTATTTAGAGAAAAACTGAATCAAGACTAATGGAAACAATACAAAAGTTGTCATTGTCATTTATTTAAGAAATTAAGGGACCTGAATTTCAGACAGGAGGAGCAATGCTATTCTAGATGGAAAGTATGTAAAAGTGCTGTCTAGACTGACAGCAGGGATATCAGCCTGACTGACAAAGGATTGACACAAGAAAGTAAGCTGGAGTCTAAGAAAGCTAGAAGAATACCTAGATCATCATCCAGAAATATTCATGAGCATCAGAGACAAATGTGTGTGTGCCTGTGTGTGTGTGCGTGTGTGTGTGTGTGTGTGTGTGTGTGTGTGTGCCTGTGTGTCTTAAAGTTTGAAGAAACAAACTCCTTCATATCACTATACAGTTTTTCATTAAAGTTTGTAACGGCCTTATCTTTACTTTTTCTTAAGCACGCCCCAGTTATCTATGGCTCTGGAACATAGGTTTGTTCAAGTTTGCCTTTTATTTTCTTACACTATGATCACTGTGCCCACAGACGTGGTCTTTTAGCACCAAAAGACAAAGTTAATTTTTAACTATTTTGTTCTCCATTATTTTCTTCTCTCTAAATAGTATTTTATTTTTTAAAAATTAGGCCTCTGCATTTCTGTAATCTCTTCTCTTTCATCCTTTAACCTGAACAGCTCTTAATTGATCTCCACTTCTGATAATATCCTTACATTCTTTATGAGGAAAGTTCTCACACCATAGAATCTCTTGTGAAAATATAATAATTCTATAATTGATACCATGTGAGAATTTGGTCTTATCTTCGCATTCTTATTTTCCATGGCAACATGTCTAATACTTTGAACTTAATAGACAAACCAACACTTGGGAAATAAATGAGTAAATATAAGCTCTCCTTTGCCAGGATAGAAAAAAGTAGGGGTATAATATCTGAGAATACATTGTTCGCATTTTGTTATAAAAAATCAAAACAAATAAACAGGCATGAACATTTTCACTACTGCCAACTTGTGTTAATTACCATGAAATTGGATATGTATTTATTAATACTTTCACCCATTCCTTCTAAAGAAATACAATAGACACAGAAAAAAAACCTATAGCATTGCTGTATCAGCTAATTTGTTTCAAACAACCAGCATATGCAGATAAAAAGAGTGGAAACTTTCTTGGATTAGGCAGGTAGTCAAAAGAATAGGCTATGTTATACAAGCCCAAATTCATTTATCTCTATTATTTATGGCAATTTGCCAAAATTTATGGTAAATTTGCCACCAATGTGATAAAATGAAATAGTGTGACTTATACTTACATTCTTATCATCCTCTTTTAATACCTTTTCAGTATTTTTATGATGTATACATTAGCACAGTAGTACATGTATATAAATACATATGATAGCAAACATTTAAAAACATTTATAAATACATATTTAAACATACTAACAAGTGGTTTACTGACAGAAATTTGTATATTCAAAAGAATTTCCAGGTCACAACTTTACTATATTTGGAGGACATTCTTTACAGAATTGATTCCAAAATTGGCCTTGGTAAAAGATCGCAAACCACCAAAAAAGACTTAAGTCATTATTTGACTATTCCTTCATAAAATAGGATAAATTATTTGTTCTCCATTAAGAGAAGCTCAGAAGAAATTTAGTTTGAATCCAACTGTTTGAGATGTGTTGAACCCTATCAGCAAGTTCAAATCATAATGTATCTAAACCTGCACTTCTGAAAAAAAAAGATGATCCTAGTATGCCACCACTGCCTTAGCAGAAATTAATAATATGGATTGTCTTTGAAACCATAGACTTTAATTTTAATTGTGATGTAATTACATTTAAATTTACTCTGATGTAATTAAGCCTTAGACTGGCCATTCTCTACTTCACAGCTTTGCATTATAGATACACTGGAGTTTAAACTGGGTGTTTTCCAATAACATCAACAATAATAATGCAAACATTGTTTGAATTATATTTTGTCTAGAAATAAACAGATTTCACCCCAAGGTTTCCTTAAAAATGTATCCTAAATTTATATTTTATTTGCAGAAAATGGCACTTACCTGCATCCACTGCAACAACTGAAATATTATATTGGTTGTTTTTTACAAATTTGGATTCTCTGTCAAGTACTTTAACAGTTCTCAAGTCGCCAGTGTGTTCATTAATTTCAAACCAGTTATCTTCATCCCCTAACTTCCTGTACCTAATTTTTAGAAATCAAATATAAATGGTCAAATCAAAGAAGGGACATCATCTTAAAATCTGTTCTTTTGAAAAATACATAAAACATTCCTAACTTTAAAATCAATTTACATCACAATTAAAATTAAGGAGCTTTTTGAAAAGTACATCACCTTAAGCCTTCACCACTGCGTGTTTCTGGGTCTAATGCCTTGTATCCAAGGAGTTCTTGGCCAGCTGGGAAGCCATCTTCACTCTGGATAACTTTCACTGGTGGGTGGCATTCCGGGCCCTCATCCCTGTCTTTAATTTTGACGGTGACAGTTGTAGTGCACATTGTAGGAGTTTGTGAGTTTGCTGCTTTAGAGAATTGTGCTTCGTTAACTACACCAACTTGCAAAATGACTTGCCGACTGACTTCATAGTTCAATGGCTGTTAAATAAGCATACTTTAATAAGTCAACATGTAACATTATATATAAGACTTCTAATTTCAAATTTTTCTACAAAGGAATATCATTTTTACATTTAAAATGTAACCTAAAGTTAGGGCTAACACAGTTAAAGACTAATAATTAGCTTCCTAAAGTGACAAACATTGCCAAATGCAAAATTGTTAATTCTCAGATTCGACTCATTTTTCTTCTCGTTTTCCTTTTGGAAGATCTTGCCTTCAGCCTTTTTTGTTTTAAGCTTAAATATTAATAGAAATGTAAGATAAGTGTGTGAAAAAAATCAAATTATTTCGTTGCTTATTATACGGGATAACAGTGACAACTAAAGTGCCTACAAACTAAGTATATAAAATAATTAGATAGAAATTTGGCTGTAATAGAGCAGTTACTCTGTGCCCGAGTCAAAAGATAGAATGATATTTAACAGCACCTTTTCCAAGCACATTAGATTTCAGGCTGTTTAGTTCCTGATGAAAGTATTTGACCTTTGATATGGTTTGGCTGTGTTCTCCACCTAAATCTCGACTTGATTTTTATCTCCCAGAATTCCCACCTGTTGTGGGAGGGACCTAGAGAAAGCTAATTGCATCATGGGGGCCAGTCTTTAGTGTGCTATTCTCATGATAGTGAATAAGTCTCATGAGATCTAACGGGTTTATCAGGGGTTTCCACTTTTGTTTCTGCCCCATTTTTCTCTTGCCACTGCCATGTAAGAAGTGTCTTTCACCTCCTGCCATGATTCTGAGGCCTCTCAGCCATGTGGAACTCTGAGTCCAATTAAACCTCTTTTGTTCCCAGTTTGGGGTATGTCTTTATCAGCCATGGGAAAACAAACTAATACAGTCCTAAACTGAATAATTAGAAATAATTCTAAAACAACATTTAAATGGCGAAGAAAAATCAAGGAGGAAAAACCTAGGAACAAGAAAAGAAAAAAGAAAGAATAGACAGTACAAAAATTAAAGAATATTTTCTAAAAATCTTATCAGGAGGGCACAATGTCTGCATAAACCTTCTGAGGACTTACATTGTCTCCAAGAAATTAATGAAGGAAGCTATGTAAGAAGTTAGAGAGAACTATGGATAGATAGACTAAAAACCAAAAACTAAAGTAATCATCATAGAAACCAGTAATTGCATTTACATTTTAAAAAATCCAAAGTAATGGCTACCTGGCATATAGGGGAATTAATGGGAAAAGCTGCTGAATATTTAGTGAAATCGTTTCCCTTACAGAATACATCACAGAGAGGTAAAAATATAATATGAACATGAAAGGAGTTGAAAAGTTGAGGAGGTTTGATTTCAAATAGTGCTTCTTCCATTTTCATCTTTTCTGTGTTCTTATAAAATAAAAATTTGAACAACTGAGTGTCTAAGACCCCTTCTAAAGCAACTATCTGGTTCAATATTCAATATTTCTTTGTCTTGATTTTCTTCATATAGAGGACACTGAGTTTTGTACCTGACATGACTTTCCCCTAAGAGAGAAATTAGGGTAAGAGAATAAGAAGAAAAAGTTTATATAAACAACTATGAATCATTTGGCCTTGCATAGCAGTATTCTAGTCATATACATATAAGAACTATCTCTTAAAATCAGTGCATGAGTTAGGATTTTTTAAAGCATAGCCAGATTATTTTTATTTGTTTACCTTGACAACACACAACACTGCTTCATTTGTATTTGGATCTGTGCTAATTTTGAAGTTTCCATTTTCATTTCCTTGTAGGATTGTGTATACAGCTCTTGAGTGAGGAGTGTTTGGCAAATCCTGATCCTGTACCTTCATTCGTAAAATCTCGACGTCAATTCTGTTTTCTTCTACTTCTGTAACATACTGAAAGAGCTTCCTCTTATTATTACCAATTTATCACTTTAACAATGTGGTTTTATATTCTAAAACATGTATTTAAAGAAAAAATAAATAAGGTGATGTGAAAAGATGCACTCAATATATCGGGAAACATTTTACAAATTTAATGCCTAGCTTAGTTCTTTCCTCCTAAATTGCCTTTCCATATCGTCTCCATTCTTCAAAGGTTACCAAAAGTCTTACCTTCTGAACTTCTCTAAGATAATTTTCTTAATCATTCTAGACTTCAGAATGTGAAATATGAAGTATGAGGTCAAATATATCCTCATACATTGTAGGGATTAATGTAAAATATATGAATATGCCTATCACTGTACTTGCAAATTTTTCCTTCCTTTACTTGTACTCTGGTATAGGTTAATGAAAAAAATGAAAAGTTATTTATCAAAAGTTCAGGAAAGGAGAACGATTTCCTGAAACTATCATCATAAAAGTAGAAATATACATATGTACACACACACACGCACGCGCACACACACACACACACACACACACACATCTCATATTATTTACTGCCTAAGGAAAAGCTTGCTGATGATACAGGAAGAGCTTGTTTGGAGTTGTGAGTCAGCCTGTACTACGGTCTCCATAGGCTAGCTCCTTATTCATCTTAAGAAGCTGAAATGTAAAGGACACCAGAGAAAGTACCTCTTCTCCTTCACCCTATAAAAACGATTTAATGACAAGGAATCTGACACTAGAGCTTAACACCAACAACAAAAAAAAAAAAGTTGAACACATGAGCTACATCTAAGGCTAAGCTCTTCGGTAGCCAAGAGCATGGTTATTTTCCTAGCATCCAGAAATAACCGGTAATTCAATGATTTTTACAGAAATCATATTTTTCTCCCTATGTTATTTGCAAGTAGTAGTCATTTAAATTAAACTGTGTGATCTCACAGAGCTACCAAATTCTAGATATGTTTTTTGAAAAAGTAGATGAATCCAGATGAATGAATAGAGAGGTATACTCACAGAAGTTTCTGTGAAAGATGGTGAATTGTCATTCTCATCCTCAAGTGAAATAGTAATTGTTCCTGTATTAAATAAACCGAAAGGTTGACCACCCATGTCTCGCACTTCCATTATTAACTGGTAAGTATCACATTTCTGAAAAAAAGGAATAAGTTCATTAATGAATACTTTTATTTCCTATAACTTGCAATTATCACAACCACTGTTTAGTCATGATTATTGTACAAATATTCTTTTTGTATAAAGTTTTATTTTAAAAAATCATAAACACAAGCACAGAATGAGACATTAGCTGATCAGTACAATGGGAAGATGACGTGTTTAATATAACATTTCAAAATTTAAAGCTGCTTTATTTACAACTGCCAAAACATGAAACGAACCAATATGTCCTTCAGTAGATAAATGGATAAATAAATTGGTACATACAGACAATGGAATATTACTCAGTGCTAAAAAGAAAAGAGTTATCATGACTTAAAAAGACATGAAAAAAATTAAATGCATATTACTAAATGAAAGAAGCCAATCTGAAAAGGCTGCGTACTATATGATTCTAACTAACATTCCTAAAAATGGCAAAACTATAGAGACAGTAAAAATACTGGTGGTTGCCAGGAGTTAAGAGGGAAGAAGGCTTCAATAGGAGAAGCACAATAATCCTCAATAGGAGGATTTTTAGGGTAGTGAAATCACTCTGGATGATACTATAATGGTAGATGCATGTCTTTATACATTTGTTCAAACTCATAAACTATATAGCATCAAGAGTGAACCGCAATGTGAAAACGATGAAATTTGGGTAATAATGATGTGTGAACATAAGTTTATCGATTGTATCAAACATACCACTGTGTGGCCAGATGTTGATAGCAGGAAAGGTTAAGTGTGTGGGGGTCGGGGATAGGGAGTAGATGGGAACCGTCTGTACTTTCTACTAAATTTTGCTGTGACCCCAAAACTGCTATAAGGAAGTTTATTAATTTAAAAAGTTAAGCATATTAGAGTCAGATAAAAATATTTTTTAAAACAAAAATAAAATAAATGTAAAACAATATAATCATCAACAGATCAAATCAGGTTAATGATCTCAAGTGAGACCCTGTCTAATGTATGGTGCTTTCCCAACATCTCTGTGAAGGACAGAGGACGTCTCCAGAGAAGCCCTAACCACAGCCTACAGGAGCATGCTGAGAAAGGAGGCCAGAGCGGCCATATTGCAACTTCTCTTGGGAGTTCTCAGTCTAAATGTAGTTTAATGACTGGAAAGTTAATTAATCATCATTACTTCTCTATCCAGTAAAGGTGTAGTTGTGGTGATGACACCGGTGTCTGGGTGTATGGAGAAATGCTTTGGATGATCTGGAATTTGTTGTAAGATTTTATATTTCAGACGGGTATGGAGAGTATCAGGTTCGTCAAGGTCAATGGCGGTCACTTTTCCCACTGAAGTTCCTGTTTAGATAAATTCAAAACTGTCAAAAATTTCTACTTATATAATTGAAATATAAACAAAATAAAATCAAGGCATTGCTGTAGCAAATTCTCCCCAAGTTGAGAAATGTGAAGCTGTTCTCGAAAATGTCTCCAAGTCTCCCTTACTCGGGAACTTCAATTAGGTGGCTCCTGTGAATAACCTGATTTGTATTCTACATATGTGAAAACAGTTCCCACACTACCTTTAGAGAAATGAGCTATTACCTTTAGAAACAGTAGCTCTGAAATTCTCTCTCTATGTTCATGGACTATTTTTAAATTTAATTTAATTTTAGATTTGAAGGTACACATGCAGCTTTGTCTTTTAAAAAATATTCCTTGGCACCATAAAATAGGCATTCCTGTATATATTGTTATATCACTCTTTTTTTAGTATTTTCCTTGCTTAGAAGAAAAAGTTGAATTTTTCCTACATTTAGGTTTCTACATATCCATAGATAAATGACAATTTTAAAAAACACTGAATGAATGATGAAAAAAATAACATCTTATTTTGCTGGGAAAAAAAGTGATCCCTGGTTCACTCATAACTCCCCTGTAATATTCTGTATGAATTTCTGGGTATAGCCTGTTTTACACTAAACTATGACTTTTCCCAATGACAAAACTGAGCAACAATTCCTTCACTCCAGACTTTCTAAGCATACATTCGTAAACCAAACACCAACTTCAGCAACAACTCTACCTTGGGGAGAGCTGAGTCAAATAAATCCTGCCAGAATTATAAAATCATGATATAAAAGGGAAAAATGTATAATATTTTAAATTTAAGAAAATTTGCTCAGTCATTTACAATCCTTAACAGCAATGTCATATAACATCAATTCCTAATGGGGAAAAAAGTGTGTGTAATCAGAAATACCAGAAAAAGGATAAAATGCAATGATAAAATGTAAACATCTTTAATACTTATGAAGTGTCAAATAATCTTCTTTATCATACTACTATAAAATGTGAACTTACCGGTTCGGCAATTTTCAGGTACAGTAAAGATGGTCAGTTTGTTTTCAAAATATGGGGCATTATCATTATCATCTTCAATTTTGATGATCAAGGGGAGTGGATATTCTGGTGCATAGCCATCTGCAGTTGTTGCATAGCCATATAACTGAAAGAAAGAAAAGTACTATGAATGTATTCTCAAATGACAAATTATGCACAAAAGTAAGCCTAGCAGTGGGGGGAAATGTAACATTAAAAAAAAAATCACCCTCAAAGATCTGTAACTAAGAAGTGATGCAATGGAGAGATAACACACAGATGCAATCTCTCTGCCTGCCGCGTGGTTTCAATCCCCTCTAGGAGCTATTTCTCATTATTCCCACAATCTAAGCACCATGTACTCCAGGTGTTCCCTGAATTAACTGTACACGGTTTCACTTGTTAGAATGCATGTAGATTTCCCCCAGTTATGTTATTAACAAGCATTTTTAAAGTTCCTAAAAATATAATTCTATTTATGTCTAGATTTGTGTGTATATATATATATATGCAAATAAAAAGACATCACAACTCTTTCAGGATAATTCAGTTCTAAGTACTTTACCTATATTTTCTCATTTTTCTATTGTAAGCATGTATTTCTTCACAATAAAAATGTTAATAAAAGCATATACATATGAGAAACCCCATTTCAAAATGAACACCTTGTTCCCAACAGCCAGTATTTAATCTCCTTTCCCTTTAAACTCCAAATTATTCCTGCACCCTCCTCATGTGGTTTGTGCATAGTAAGTGTTCAGTAAATAGTTGTTGAACGTATTTTCATCACTCATGTTACCAACTAAGCCTCCTCAAAGTAAATTCTGTATTAACACGTTCTTTACCACAACTCTTCTAATTTTCTCTACTGTAACCATTTCTAAATGAAATAGGATTAAAATTCCAGGCATTAAACTCCTCTCTCTCTCTCTCATGAGCCTTAGCAGTCAGTTGCTGAGCTCTAGAGATTATGGCATTTGTGTGTCTCTCATGCATGTTCTCTTTTCTGTTCCCACTGCTATCATCTTCATGTGACTCCACATGCATTCTGCGCGTTGACTCACCAACTTTGCTGCAGTTGTTCTGACATTCCCTATTCCTATCTATGTAGCCTCAGAAGTCTAATTTTATTTTCATAAAACACAATTTTAACTATGATACTCCTTAATCAGACTCATCTATGACTTACCCACTAGCTGCTAAAGTAACCACAAAATCCTAATTATTGTGTTAAAAGGCAACATTTCATGTTCACTGATCATGCTAACCTGGAGAGGAAAGAATTTATACTCCAAACTCTGGGATAGAGTGTATTAAAATAATCATCCATGTTGTCTCTGCCCTCTTACTTACTTTTCCGCAAATAACTTCCAGGTGGCATTTTTCAGTAATAAAACTTATATTATGACTTCCATCATTCTGATTTCTATATCTTTTTTATGATTAATTCTAAATTCAGAGGAGGAATACAGTAATATATCATTATCACCTCACCATATCACCACCACCACCACCATCATCATCACCACTACCACCAGCATCACCTCCACCACCACTACTACCACCACCACAAGCACCACCATCATCACCACACTACCATCACCACCATTATCCTCATGACCATCACCACTACCACCACCACTACCACCACCATCATCATCGTCATCATCAATACTGTTACCATCACCATCACCACCACCACTACCATCATTACTACCACCATCAGAAGCAGCAACATCATCAGCACACTACCATCACTACCCCACCACCATCATCATCGTTATCACCACTACCACTACCACCACCATCACCACCATCATCATCACCATACTACCATCACCACCATCACCACCACCACCACCATCATTGTCACTATTATTACCATCGCCACCACCATCACCATCATTACCACCACCATCAGCAGCAGCAACACCATCACCACACTACCATCACTACCATCATCATCATTACCACCACCACCACCATCACCACCACCACCATCATCACTACTATCACTATTACCATCACTATCATCACCACCATCATCACCACCATCACCACCACCATCACCACACTACCATCACCACCATCACCACCATTATAATTATCACCACTACCACCACCACCATCACCACCACCAACATCATCATCACCATGCTACCATCACTACCATCACCACCATCATCATCATTATCACCACTACCACTACCACCACCACCACCACCACCACCACCACCACCACCACCACCATCACCATTACCACCACATCAACATAACCACCACTGCCATCATCATCACCACCACCACCATCACCACTATGATCATCAGCACTACTACCACTATCACTATTATCACCACCGTCATCATCATCACAACCAGCACATTCAGATGTCAACACTACTCACCTTTCCTAACAATCGTTCCCCTTCTCTTCATATAGATGTTGTGAATTTTTATTCCTTAAAATGCTGCTATTTTGAGATATTGGCTGGATAAAACTATAAAGTTGTAACTTATTTTAAATTATAAACTATTCTCTCCTTTTTCCTCTGGCAATGATCACAGTAACAAGCAAAGATAGAAAGCAGGTTGGCAAATAGAACCCTATCAAATAATTCCTCAGCAAAATTGAAAATGAAGTGGACATTGCAACATACAGAGTAGGCAGCTTTTTATTTCTCCTCAAGAGTGACTTCTAGTGTTAGATCTTTTCTCTAGTAAGAAATTGTAAAAATGGCAGAGAACTTAGATACTTTCTATCAATTATTTATTTGTTAATGAGTAGAGAGTTCAAAATGATTGCAATGGTGCTTAGCTTACTGCTCTTGTAAGAACTTGCATACACTATTTTTTAAAGTAAAAATGTGTTATATTATTAGAAGTAAAGTATGTTTATTCTAGAGAAATTGGAAGGTACATAAAATTATAAAGAAAATATGCCATTATTATCCCACCATTAATTTTATATTTAATAATGAAACATCTAAAGTGGAACATTTATACACACACACACACATATGTGTATATATAGATAATACGTACATGTGTGTGTGTGTGTGTGTGTGTGTGTGTGTGTATACCTCCCCACAGCTGTTAACTTCTTTCATAGCTGCCTTGAGGTGGCCACCAGATACTACTCATTCTCCAGATGTCTGCTAAGATATTACTCTCTGAACTGCACAGGTATGAGATAAGTTTTTTTATATGCTCCTTTAGCAAAGAACTTTATTATACTCTTTTACAATTCAAGACAATGTGTTTAATTAATTTTATTCTCCACCATTCCAAAAGCCTACTATAAATTTCATGTTTCATCAGATGAAACATCAGAACATCAAAGAATTATATAAAATTAACAGAAACGAAATGATTTAATTATCAGAAGAATTAGAATTGTCTTGTCCTTGGGTAGGATAAGATAGAATCAAATGAATTGGTAAATTTGTTCTGGGTTACCTACAAAGTAAAACAGTACTAAGGGATCTCAATGCTGAAGAATAGTGAGAGAAAAGAATAAACCCCCTCCCCCACACACACACACACAAAGCTGTGTAAGGGGCTGAGGAAGTGGATCCAACACTTACACATTTAAGATCACCTTGGATGACTGGGTCCCATCCCAGACCAATTAAATCAGAATACCTGGGCATGCGTCCAAGCATCCGTATTTTTTCTTATAATGTACAGCCAGGCTTGAGAATAATTGAGCTATTTTATTATAGATAACTCTAAACTCAGTGAAACTCTTTGTCATTTCTCTGGGATTACAGACCAAAATATGTCCTTTAAAATTCTATCATTATATTTTCTATATCCTCTCCCGCTCTACTTCTCTTATGATATCTACTGTTTTTCCTCATCAATGATAAACAGAAATGTAAAGTTTATATTGCATATTAATATCTTAAATATTGAATCAAATAATTTATTATAATATGTGAACAAGCATAATTGAAAATATTAATAAGCCAGTAATAAAGATATAATTCTGAAGAAATATCTTAATAATCCTACCGCAAACTGTTGATATTGCTCACGGTCAATGCTTCTTGTACAAAAGATATCCCCAGTGTCTCTCTCTATGTAAAACAAGTTGTAGGGTTCTTTGTCCACGCCTGGTCCACTTATGGAATAAAAGATGGTGTAATTCTGTGCAGTGTCAGATTGAATCTGCAGTAATAATTCAGGAATAGAACAAATATGTCATGATAAATATTTTCAACCTAACCTCTTGTGATGGTTCATTTTTTATCACTAGCCCTCTTTCCTGCTCTCCTATTCTTTCTTTCTTCTGCTTATGTGTCCATGATCTCCCACGTTTTCCAAATTTTTATTTGCATTTTGCATTGTGCAAAGTCACAAATTCTGTCACTTATTTGATCTCAAGGTTTTTGTCATTTGCATATCTATGAAATCTGTAGAGTAATACACCTTTTCAATTCTTATTTACTTATTCTTATCTTCATGTAAGTAACAGTAACAGTTTCAGTGATTTTAAATTCTTTGGAAATAAATATTATGTGATTAATAAAACTAGAAGTAATGCAACTTTTCTTCCACAATTAATTCCTCAAAAATTACAAAATTTTGGCTGGGCACAGTGGCTCACACTTGTAATCCCAACACTTTGGGAGGCCTAGGCAGGCAAATCACCTGAGGTCAGGAGTTCAAGACCAGTCTAGCCAACATAATGCTACCCCATCTCTACCAAAAATGCAAAAATTAGCCGGGCATGGTGGTGGGTGCCCGTAATACCAGCTACTTGGGAGGGTGAGCAAGAGAACTGCTTGAACCCAGGAGGTGAAGGTTGCAGTGAGCCGAGTTCGTGCCACTGCGCTCCAAAATTTCAAAACTGTTCTATGTTTGCATTCCAGCTATGTGGCAGTGAGGCTTACTTAGTAAGCAGAAATACAGGCCATATTTATTAAAAAAAAAAAAAAAACAAGTGTTAGTTTAAGTGAGAGTTGAACTATGCAACACATGTAGGTGTGCCTTCTGTACATTAGTGTTAACAAGTCTAGCATAATATTTGGGTGAATTTAGATGTAGACTTAAGAGATCAGAAACTCCAAATACAAAACTTATTTCTAAATTTTTAAATATATCTGTAAGAAAGTAATAAGATATACTGGGCCACTTCTATGGGATCCTAGTTCTGGTGAATGGATGACCATGATTTGTACCATTAGTTTAAAGCTCTGATTCAACATGCTGTGCAATTCAAATGAAAAGTTTAACAATGAAAAACTCTGACGTATATAAAATCAAATAAGGTGAAATGCACCTGCTGAATGTGTTGTGGAAATGGACCCAATGAGTTCTCCATCAATGAACACGGAATAGGACCCCATCGTCTCTTGCTGCGCTTGAGGGCTGTGTCTTTGGCATGTCTCTTCTTAGCAGCCTACATTTGACAAGAAACAAAGGAATGTAGTATTGCTTATCATTTTTGGAACTGTGATTTTCAACACGTACATCAACAAGCAGATGTAAGGATTATACATTAGAGTATCATGGATAGTCATCAAGGCATTTCTATTGATAACAGGCACACACACCTCAGGCTGTATTATGTTCCTCTGTTCTACCTATTTATTTACTCAGTTAACCACCAGGAACCGTATAGAGCATTTGGAAAGACGTCACTTTGAGAAGTTATAGACCCCCCTCAAAGTAGATAATTAATAAATATTTAAGAATCACTTTATTCCACTAGGAATGGTACAACCAAAATCTGTTAAAACCCTTGCTACAGTACAATCATTTATACATCTCTATAAAGACACAGGTCAGCATTTGCTCAAGTATACTTGATTTTGCACAATGTGGGGACTCTACGATGTGGATATATAATAACATTTTGTAAGCCTTAAGCATATTAAGAGGAGTTCTTATAATCAAATGGAATTTAGTTGGGAAATCTGCTCATAAATGGAATCAGTTATTAACAAATGATTTTATAAGATGAAATTCATTAGGGTGAGTTTCCTGAAAATGGGATGGAAATTCCAGCAACTTTTTCTTCCTGCTTTCTGAACTGAGCTCTACCACTCACTGCAAGAAAACGAGCCTAGAGTCAAACGTTCAAACTCATCCTGTGGACTGGCCACACCTCCACTCTCTGAACAGAGGAGCTCCCTCATAGAATTTTTGAGTAAGATGGAAGTGAGCTTTAGACAATCTCTTCTCCTCTTTAAAGAGAGACTCAAACCTGCAATCAGTGGGAAGAGAGCCGCACAGGGTGGAGCCCACATCTCCAGCCTGAATCACATTTCGCTGAGTTTTAGACCCGCCCCTGTCTTGCCCTTGCTCCTCAGGTTGGTTTGTTCTTATTGCCAAACCTGAAATTACTATCAGAAAACTTTGATATTCTTACTTTGATCCCTGTCTACAGAGTCATTTATCTTTATGCAAATTTGTAAATAGTTCTGCCACTCCTTAAAAGTCTAGTTTTTATTTACATTAATTGTAAGTGGAAAAAGACAAATTTATCATTCAGTAGCACGGATTTTAATGTGAAAGAAGTATATAACATGAAGGAGGCCCATAAGCAGATTACTGTGCAAGGTTGCTTATGCCCTTGCCTTATACCTTGTTTTCTCTTGCGGACAGTACAACTTCTATTGTTTTTTGTTCCTGTCTCTGACGGTCTGAAAGGAAAATGGAAAAACTTTTCCTTTCAGAAGACAAAATGAGGTCATGTGTTGTGTAAATGGAGCCATCTTCTAGAACTCTGAAGTTAGGATCACTGGACAGGATTAGGCTGGCCGACTTGAGACACTCCTCCAGATTCACTGCAGGGAAGAAATGTCACAGCAATTTGTCAGATCAAAAAGGAGTAGAACAAGTTTTACAGGAATGACAACCATGAGTTAGTGCACGAGAAGCAGAGAAAGGGAGGTTACATTTGGAATGTGCTCAGCACCTGCTATTCTAAAGTGTGGGGGCCATGAAGATTGAATAATTAAATTAATGGAGTCACATTTTCCACTACTTTCGCCATACATTAATTTAAGAAGTAAAATATTTTCCTAGTGTCACTGGTTTTATTCTCTTTTCTTTGAACTCTTAATCATCTTGTGTGTGTGTGTGAATTTATATCTCTGTATACAAACTTGATTTTTTATGTAATAAGTGGTATAACTGCATGATGTCAGTAGATTTGAACTTTTTGAAATAGTCTGATAGTTAAAACTACCTTGCCAAAAATAAGAAAACTCAGTGGCTCACACCTGTAATCTCAGCACTTTGGGAGGATGAAGGAGGCGGGTCACAAGGTAAGGCATTCTAGACCAGCCTGGCCAACATGGTGAAACCCCGTCTCTGCTAAATACAGGTGGCTCGTGCCTGTATTCCCAGCACTTTGGGAGGCTGAGGCAGGTGGATCACCTGAGGTCAGGAGTTCAAGTCTAGCCTGGCCAACATGGCGAAACTCCGTCTCTACTAAAAATACAAAAATTAGCTGAGCATGGTGGCAGGCACCTGTAATCCCAGCTACTCAGGAGGCTGAGTCAGGAGAATTGCTTAAACATGGGAGGTGGAGGTTACAGTGAGCAGAGATAGCATCACTGCATTCCAGCCTGGACAACAGAGCAAGACTTTGTCTCAAAAAAATAAATATATAAATAAGAAGAAAACTAGTCTATTCTTAAGTAATATTTCCTAGTAATATTGCAAATAATCTTTCTGTAATGCATTTTGAGGTTTAGTAAGCCCAATGCATTGTGGTCATTATCAAATTACTTCCTTTACAGATTCATATTTAACACATTCAGTGTATTTAATAATTTAAAACATTAAAGCACTGAGAAAAACAGCATCTGGCTCGGAAAGGATACCATTTCTCTATTCAGTTTGTAATTTTTTACATGTGAACTCAAAGTCAGTGAAAAACCTTGATGAAAAAAATGTTACCTTTGAACTCAAGAACAATCAACTTATACTTCAGAGATGCCTATGGTACCAAGACCCACCAAAACTTTGATTTTCACAAGGTATTCTGTGAAATATGTCACATTTATTCTTGGTGGATGCTTGTTTATTGTAATCAGCCTTGAGTACAAATTTATTGGAGGCATTTAAATTTTGAGACATCCATTTCATGTCCAATCAATTAAAGAATCTTAGCTTTGAACTTTTAGCAGCAGATTAGCTGATACAGATTAGAATATGCTCCTGATTTGGGTGCCTTGCTTTGTTTAATGTAATCCAAGATAATTTAGCCTTCTGATGTTTGCTAATTTTTTTGGCAAGAGAAGTATACAACTAACTTTATTATTTTAATTGTTTCTAACCACTACCAAAAAACAAGTAGCCTATCAGTATTGCACGTCCAATTTTAACATCAAGTAGCCACTACATGGCTTTTATCCCAAACTTTACAAGGGCAGCCTGAAGCTAAATGTGCCAAGTTACAACTATGAAATTGTTAGTAAAGTTTCTCACCTTTGCCTACAAGTGTTTCAGCCTGAAGATGAGAAGGAACTCGAAGAGAAATTTTCTGACAAGCATCGCAAAGTAATATTAAAACCTCAAAAAAAAAAGAAAAAAATATATCAGGAATTACATTTGATCACAAATGTTCACGTTACAACTTTTTCTTATTAATAAAAATATTGCCTATTTTGGAAACAAATTAATCATTTTATTCTTTAAATTTTTAATGTTCACTTTAAAAGGAACCAGCAAAGAGAATAGCTTTAGGGATAACACTGTCATTTAGTGTCAATGAAAAAATTAAGAGAATAGTAGCTCTTAGAACCTAACTTGTAACAATGCAAGAAAATATTTCACAAACCATTGACTTTAAATAGAAGTTATACATCTCTAAAACCATTCATAAATGTCTGTCTGATTTTTAGCGTGAAGAACATACTTAACTCTGAAATGCATAATTACGTATCTGTACTAATTCTCCAATCATTATTTTTACTGTTTGAAGGTATAGTTGATAGAGTCTAGAAAATAGTTGAATTTTTTTACCTCACAAAAAAATGCCACCCCCACTAAAATTATTTTTCTCAAATCAATTTTCAGACAGACTTGGACAAAACTGCAAAGTCTAAATGATCTCAGATCACATGACTAGTCTAAAAACAAATATAGGTCACAATATGGAGAGTGTCTTTCAAATAGGTAAAGATTTTTAATGAAATTCAAGACCCAGCTATTGTTTTTAAAAGCTAGGCAGTTCAAACACAAAGATACTATCTGAAAAACAAAAGAAAAGCTATCATTTCAAAAATGTCTACAAGTTCACAACGTATTTTGTGTCCTTTTCTTGGCGTTTTCCATTTGTTTCTCATTATCAAAATAACTGCTTTTTTATTATTTAAATAGAAGACAGAGTAGAGCTAGATTTCCAAGAAACATGTAGGTCAATTTTATGAGCAGCTTTTCTCTGAAGATATATTTCTAGAATGATGGAACCCATTATTTGTGAGGAGGAAAGAGAATGGATTAACATCCATATTAAGGATGTGTACTTTTTTTCCAGCTCAAATCAAGTCTATCAGATAGATTGTAGCAGTCTAATTAAATAGTTTATAATTTTGTTAATCTCTGTTAGGCAGAAATCTAGAATTTAAAAGACCACATTTTATTTAGTTCTAATTTAAAAGCCACTTTTTAAAACATGAGACATTCATATGTATTTAATTTTTTAAATATGTTCATCCCTAATACCAAGGAACATACTAAATTATACTCAAATAACTTTCTGAGCATAGACCAAACTATTAGTAGTGGTCTAAATATATAATGTTGAAAGAGCATTTTGTAATTAGGATATACATGTGTACATACATATACACACATGCACATATATATATACACATATACCTGTACATATACCTATATGTATGTGTGTGCATGTGTATAAATATGCACACAGTCACATATTGCTTACATTCTAAGAAATGCAACATTAGGTGATTTCATCATTTTGCAGACATTGTAGAGTATATTTACCATACACCTAGAATACATAGTCTACTACACACCTAGGTTATACCTACATGGTGTACACCATGGTATATATATGTATACCCCATGGTATACATCATGGTACAGCCTAGGTGTATAGTATATAGTATAGCCTCTTGTTCCTAAGCTACAAGCCTGTACAGCATGTTCCTCTACCGAATACTGTAAGAAATTATAAGTATTTGTGTAACTAAACATTTTTAGATATAGAAAAAGAATATTAAAATATAATATAAAAGGTAAGAAATGGTTCATCTATACAGGGCAGCTCCGGTATAATCTATGGGACCAGTCATATATGTAGTCCACCATTGACTGAAGCATTGTTATGCAGCGTATGACTGTATGTGTATGTGTGTGTACATATGCAGGTGTACATGCAGATATATAAATATGTGACACATTCTCATAGGTTATATCCACACTTCTACTCCCACCGCCATCTTCTTTTCTTCCCATCCTGGGAGTCCATGCTGATGGTCCTCCCTCTGCAGGCAGAGCCACTGAGTGGTTCCACTCATTAAATACTATTCCAGTCTTCAGGTTAAATCAATGACTAAGTGTCTTAGTGACACCCTTTTAGTTAGTTTCAGGGTCAGAAATAAATGAACAGGAGATGAATTATCCAAGAGATAGCAGATAGTACAGGGATCAGAAGCAAAAGAAATGTGGGTAGAATCCTTCGGAAAATTTTTACCACATTTTACCAAACTTGTACTAACTCAAGATGGTATCTGAGTTATCTTCTCCTCAAGCAGTTCCAGAATGAGAAGGTGACCAACAAGCCTGAATTGTATATTATTTACATGGAGGAAATATTTGTCCCCATACATGCCATTTCTAAAAATATAATTTGAAACGAAAATATTTTGCTAAAATGAACAAAAAGGAAATTCACAGCTCAGAAATGATGGATGCATGTGTGAAATAAACCCCCTCTCTTCCCACACCACCAAAAAAGAAATAGCACCTTATACACAGTTACAAAGCTATTAAAAACCAAGTGGAAGTGAAGTTAAGGATATTTTCAATGACTGTCACATTTTTGTTATTTTTCTTAAACCATTCTTTGCTTAAACTGCTTCATGGGTAAAATTCAAAAAGTCCTGGATAATTTCCATGTTCACCAGAATCCTTTCTCCTTTTTTGTTTCTCAGTAGAACTCAGCATGTTAAATAACATGAGTTTACATAATCACTGGTAGCAAAAGTAAACCTCAGAACCTTCTGAGCCAAGTGCCTAAGGAATGAATTCATTTCTCTACTGCTTAGAAAAACACCACAGCAGGATGTAAGAGGGATTCCCTTGAAAAATTTTAACACCCTGGCAGTGGGTGCTTGAGAAGTAAGAGAAACACTTTTCATCCTGGATCCCAAGTGTGCCAACCCTTCCCTGAATCTTCCTCAGATCTGTTTTTGTTTTCCCCGATCTCTCTTCTTTGCCTCCCATTCCCACTGCTAGTCTCTTTCAAGCCCAAATCGCAAAGAGGAAGCAGGTAGTAACGTGTTTGAATTCCCTAATCCTTTGGTTGTTACTCACCAGGAGAGAGAAAAGGAGCTGCTTACAGAAGATGCTCCCTGGGGCAGCGGAGGCCACAGCCATCAGAAGCAGTCCCAATGGCCAGGGACAATGGCCAGATAACAAGGCAGCCTGGGATGCACAGGGCAGCTAAGCAGGCACTGGCACTTGGGCAGGATATTCTGCCGCCACCTTGATGCAGCTGAGCTTGGTTTGGAAGAGAGTCAGGAGGTAAGTGACAAACAGGAGGAGGAGCAACAGAATTGCTTTCCCCCTATTCCCTGGCCAGTCTCCTTCCTTGCAGTTCAATTAACTCTAAATGCAAAGAGGTTTTCCCACAAGTGAGAAGGGTGGGGTACAAAACACCCCAAAACCCAGTCAGTAGCTCCTCCTCACAGCAGCTTTCAAAATTTCTCTTGCCACTTAGCACATAGACAGAAGCAGGAGGGAACACCCTTCGTCCTCAGCCCTCCTCCCTTTCCCCCAGGTTGATGCTGTGAAGTCCTCCCCACTTATTACCCACTCCCACAGCCTCCCCTCCTTCTTGGCCTTATTAACCTGTCTTGCCCCTGGGTATAAACATAAATTGTGCACAAACGCCATGCAAGGAAGTGATGCCTCCTCGACTGCCATTGGCAAATCAGAGGACCTAAGCATGTGTAATCACACTTATCAGAAGTTATCTCCCATCTAAGCATTTAGGTATTGTCGGTCCTGTAGAGCATTGTAGTTCTGCCAGAGAGCTGGCATTCCAGTTTAAAGCAGCGACTTCTAAAGGCATTGTGTGTACTTCTTGTCATCGACAATTCACTGTGGTTGGTCCTCTAGATGTCACAAGGAACTTATCAGAATGTAAAGACTTCATGAAAGTAAGAGAATAAAGAAATAGCTAGCATATAATCTTTCTTCTGGCTTTCCTTTGGTTATACATGAAGCCATTGCTTTTTACCCCTATAATTTTTCAAGGACAACTACCATCTTTGAGACCAAGTCTCTCTAAAATCACTCCATTCACCCTAATTACCTGTACATTACATATAGGATATCCTAGCCTAATAGTACAATAAGGCTATCAAATGTAGGTGTTTTTAAACCCTAATGATTATTCTAATAAGAGCTTTAGCATCATTATTTCTATCCCAACTTAGTGAGCTCAGTGACATCAATTGCACTCAATGGCAGTGATGGAAGTTAGGAGAGGAAGATGCATATTTTCAAATGTTAAGGTAGAGCCCAACACCCAGGCTGCTGAGAAGGGAGGAATGACAGATTTTCTTCAGCTTATTTGACAATGGGAACAATTGCTTCTTTATGTAGAGACAAATATTAATGTAACTGCTTCATTAGAAGTAGAACCTAGTAAGATTTGGAAAATGAATGACCCATGAGAAAAAATCTAAAAGATATCTTGTAGTATTTTATTGCTAGTGGTCTACCCAGTAATGAACATATTTTGCGACTGCATTGGAATTTGATTTCTCAATCAGAAAATACATTCACTTTAATGGAATATTTTTACATCTAACGTTTTGGGAGAAAAGAGTAGGAATATAAAAATAGAAAAATTATTTAGATGTGTATGTATGGAGCCAAGTGTAACTCTGTGCATGTTTAAGCATAATCATCTAAGTATATATTTAGATAGATAGATATACAGATAAATAGATAGATACAGATAAATAAATAGTCATATAGCTTAAATGATTCAAAGACAAATTCTCTGACCCTACGAAGTAGAAAGACATTTTTCAGCTAATGAAGTTATCATTACCTCTTTCTATAATATGATATTCTCCAACGAACTAGGAAAATATAGAAAAGCAAAATTAAATTGGCGTTACTGAAAAAAAATGGCATATATTTGCTGGATGAAGAGATTCCAGGCACTGCTAAATTCAAGTGAACCAGAATACTCTGCACAGTTCTACAAAATTGATGTTCTGATCCTAGTTCTTTTAACCTACCTTCTGCATGCTCTTTTCTCATTATCTATCGTTCTCAAAGATAATAGAAAAGCTTGTGTAAAAGCTAACACTAAATCATTTGTTTGCAAATCTATTACATTAATATTTCTCCCATATTTTGTATTTGCACACAAAGGTTTCCTAAAAATAAAATATAGGCACCTTAGAGGTAAAAAATAATTCATTATTACAAATTATTGACTTACTTAAAATTGACTCTGCCTTAAAATTAAATGAAAACAAGATTTATTTCTTCTAATTTTCTGCCATCAGATTATTCAGTAAGAATTCTTAATCTCTTTTCTGTTGCCATCAAGATATACCGCAGACTGGGTAATTTATTTAAAACACACACACACACACACACACACACACACACACACACACACACACACACACAGAAGTTTGTTTGGCTCATGGTTCAGGACACTGCGAAGTCCAAGAGCATGGCATGGGCATCTGATGAGGGTAGTCCCATGATAGAAGGCAGAAGACAGAGCCAGTGCACCAGACAGACAAGGAAGTGGCCTAACTTACCAGTTATCAGAAGTCCACTCTCATGATAACTAACCCATTCCTGAGGGTGGAGACTTCATGGCATAATCAACTTTTAAAGATCCCACCTCTTAACATCATTATAATGGCAGCCAAATTTCAATATGAGTTTTGGCAGAAACATTCAAACCACTACAAGCTCTATTTTATTTTTAGTTCTACCTGTATGTTTGTTTGTTTTAATCTATATCTAAATTAATAGGCTTAAGTAAAAGATTGATAATGTTGTGTGGTGGTTAAGAACTTGTACTTAGAAGCTAGAATGCCTGGGTTCAAATCCTGGCTTTACTACTTATTAGCAATTAAACCCCTAGGCAAGTTAGTTAACTCTCCTGTGCCTCAGTCTCTTTATCTAAAACATGGAGACAGTAATAGCTGCTAATTCATAGGTTATTATGAAGATTAAATGTGATATTATAAAGAAAATACTTCCAACAATGTCTGGCTCAGAGCAAGCACTAATATTTTACACCATACAATTGCCTAGGCATGCAATAAAAAATTGAAGAGACTGAACTTCAAATGAAACAAACACAAAATTATTGCAAATCCAAGGTTTCTTATGTAAAGGCTACCTAAAGATACATGAATAGGTTTACTCATTGAACAAATAGCTAAGGGTTTATATATTGGGGTCTGGCCTTTGCTAGAGAGAAGCATCATATAGAGAGAAAAAAAGAAGACAGAAATATTATGACGTTAAACTAAAGGGACACCTCATGGTGAAGAACATACAGTTATCTTTCCACTTCAAAAGACAGGATGAAAAGAGGCACTGTAGAAGAGAACAATGATTAAATGTCAAGAACAATGATTAAATGTCAAGAAACCCCTACAGAAAAAAATATTTTATTTTAAATATGTAAATACTGCATAATCTGTTTTCTACCACACATTTATGGTTATACAGAGAAAGATTTAAATGTAAATCTTTCATGACTCTTGCATTTAGATTTTTCTCTTTTGGCTTAAGGCACATCAAGGAAATATATCTTTTTTATAAATTTAAATAATGTATTTTATAGAATCACAGTGACAAATTTTATTAGAGATGTTTATGTATGACCAACTTTCAGAAAGGGGCTCATTATGAATAAATTCAGGGCCTCAAGAAAACCATTTACAGATAGAATCATTATCTCTGTAAGATGATTCAATATATTCTAAAAGACTCCTAGACTGGTAGGAATGCTGTACAAACTAATGAAGCCACAAAAAGTCACTTTGGGTTGAATACAAATGACTAAATAAACCAGAAACCAGGTGTAAAACCAAGTGTAAAAACAGGGTTTGTGAACTTCATATGGGTGAAGTGTACTAACAAAGAAAAAGAAGCGTTAGCTATTAAAAAATAAAAACTTGGCTCCCATGAGTTCAATGTACTGCAGTGGAAACTCCCTCAATCTCACTAGACTCACAGTCTTTTACCTGAGTAAAGGACTATTAAAAATTAGAAATAACTCACGTGCACTGATAATTACTAATGATGATTTCTCAAGGCTGTTTGCATAGAATAGTGATTAATTTTATATAAAATGATCACTCCCCATTATTAGCAAAACTGTTGACAAATCTATGAAAAGAAATATTAGCACACATCTCCGGGTAGTTCAGAACTCTTTCTATTCAGCCCACACACCTAACTCAAACTGGCTTAAGAGAAAACAAAACAAAATTGTTGAGCACAAAAGGATTTGCTAGGTCATGTAACTGGAAGGGTAAGGATAGCCTAAGGTTTAGGCATAAACTCCCTCCATCTCTCAGCTCTGCCTTTCTGTGTGTTGGTTTCATTATTTCAGTTTTCCCAGTGTGGAGGCAAAGATGACCACCAGAAGCTCCAGGATTTCAACAATGACTGGGTTAGCAAGTTGTTGTTGAAAGAACATGTCTTTCCCCCAATAGTTTGAAGAAAAACACAATCCTTCTGGCCTGAATCTTACATATAAACCTAAAGTCAAGGGGTGGGCCTGACCACATGGGCAAAAAACGGTGAAGAAGTAATTGCCCAAAGATAATGTGAGGCTAGACAGAAAAAATGTAACTAGACAAGCAGATCAACAGATGTCCACTAAACTTACTGTTTCAAATTGTTATTTCAATAAAACTAATTATTCAGCATTTATTAACACCGTCTCTATGCTGAGTACTACCAGTGTTGCTGATGATACAAAGCTGAAGAACACATGATATCTACCCTCATGGAGCTTACACTTTACTGTATGTTTTAACAACTAAGTAAAGTAGTTTCTATGATGGTCAGGATTAAAATCCTGGAGAAATGAATATAACACATATTTTAGATTTTTATTTATTTCTTGCTGTATTCTCCAATTATTATTTTTTTGGTGGCCTTCAAACTTATGTGTTTGAAAACTATTTTTTAATGTGGATGGAATCTTACTATCAATTACTTATATATTAAGAATCACATTATTAAATGTTGATTTTAAGTATGGTAATATATACTCACTAAAGATAATCTTTTTATATACATGTTTCCAGTCTAGTTTCTGTGTATAGAATTTTTAACATTGTTATACTTGCAATGTGAATATAAGTTTGTAGGATGCTTTCTCCTAGTTATAATATAAAATCTGTCCCATGTCATGACAACTCTATTTAGATACCATGTTAATGACTGTAATCAATTCCTTCAAATAACTATATCACAATTGATTTAACCAATTCATAGTACTGAGCATTTATTTCTAATTTTTCATTACTATAAAGATTAGCCTAATACATAAAGCTTTTTTTCTGAACTCAGGATTATTTATTGAGATGGAGTCCCACAAAATACAAGAAACGTAATGGTTTTTGGTATATAAATCAAACTTGAATCACAAAAGCAGAGTACCAATATACCTTC